CCCCCCCCCCCCCCCCGTCTATCTCTAGATTCCTGAGATTCAGCATGTCTTCCATTTATTGTCTGGCCTTCTGACAGCCACTTCTCCAAGTCAATGACTGAACCACACATTTGTTTATACAGAAGACAAAGCAGATGTTTATGTTTCTAGCAAGGAAAAGAAAAGGAAAGGAAGGAAGAAAGAACAAATGGGAGGAAGGGAGAAAAAGGGAGAGAAGGAAAGAGGAAGATATACATATATGTATGTGTGTATATTCTTCTGTAAAGGTTTTATTTTCCCCTTCTCACCATCCCACCTCTCTCTCATAACTGGCTGGGGCCCAGGAAAGGTGTGAATCAACAAATTTGTTGAAATTAACATACCTTGCTTGAGGGGCTGTATAATATCATATGATGCTATCCATTCAGTAAGGCTGGTCAACTTTCCAGCTTTTCCTGAATCAAACTTCCAGGGTGATTTTCTTGTTTCATTTGAAGTGTGCGAATTCTCAGATTAGACCCAGATGCACTGGAATGTTGGTATGAACACACATCACAAAGTCCAGTGTAAACGATGGTTAATCTACGTGTCATTTTGGATTATCCAAGTATCACTGGCCTAGCAGTGAGTGGCCCAAGTAACTGACAATTGATTGCACAGAGGTCATATAACCACAAGACAGCTGTGTTTCAAAAGCTGGGAAGGGGTGATTGACCTTGGACAAGTCCCTTTCCTCTCTTGCAACTTCTCTTACTCTTACTGATAAAACGTGGGGCCCTGACTAGATGGTCTCTTGGGGCTCCGACAGCTCTGGGCCCTTGCAGCTCTGACATTCAGTGACCTGTGAACAGTTAGCAGTCATGCATTATCCTTCTGCTGACACAGATAATCCTGGCTTTTTGCACCATTGTACTTTGCCTTCACCCATGTTTCACTCCTTCAAAACTGACTAATTAACATCCATCTCTCAATTCCTCTGGGTCTCTATCCATTGTTGCAGAGTGGTCCACCAAGGTTGGAACACTTACGGCACAGTTGGGACACTGGAGAAAGAGATTCCTGAAGCCCCATTTTGTGCTAATGAGACAGCAATTTGGAAATTTTTGATGGGTCTTCAGTGAAGCATGAAGTGCTCTGATAGCTGTCGACAAAGTGACCATTTGGCCCCTTGAGAGTAAGGGCAAAGAAAAATTGACTTAACATCATTTACTGGCTTTCTAGTAGCTTTTATTTAGTCAGATACTAGCAGATACTTGCTTGGGTTTTTTGAATACACATAGGAAATACGAAAAAGTGAAGGGAAAATATTAGGTCATGTTTATATTTATAAAATGCATTCAGTAGGAGAAATACTATCTGCAATAATAACCAACAGGTATTGTATGCTTATTACAGTAGTGTAAGAGGAGCATTAAAATTCAATGACTTGATTGTGAATACCTCTGCTTGTTACAAGAAATTTATTGGAAAAAATAGGCATCAACTGAAACTTCTCAGTTCTAAGAGCTTCTGGCCAAATTACTAGCCCAAACTCCTACCTCTGCCAGCTTGTCCATAGTCTAAGAAGGCAAACAACATAATTATTTAAATATAATATATAAAATAGATAGAAAAGGCCCACCAAGAATACAGCAGTTCTATTGCTTAAAAAAAGGAATATATCTTTGAATGTCTTTTTAGTACCTTTGAAAGATTTTCAACTGTTTAGTAACACTCCAGACATCTGTTCAGCAATTTGGCCTTTTCTGGAAAATCAACAGAGAGAAAATGTACAGATGAGGATAAGCTGGCTTTGAGAAGTTTAACCGTTAGGAAATAGGATTATCAAAGAAAGGATAAAGTCCTTGCTTATTCTGAAACTTAGTTTGAAATCTTGAGCAAGGCACAATTTGGGTGGTATCTGGTTCTGATCTGTGCTCCCCTGTTGATATTTCTTAGAATCTCATCCCGCTAGGAGAGATTAATCAGGGTGCCCTGGAAAGGGGAGATACAGGCTTTTAAACCTCTGCAATCTCCTTGCCATCATTTTCAATGCTCTGATTCCAGGTTG